ATATTAGCATAAACTAGCCTAGCATGTTTATAAAGTTTTATCTAAAGCTTAAAGTAAAGTTTTAAGAATAAGTATAGTTAGTAAGCATTTAGCTTATTATAAAGTCTATTTTATTACAGTTATAGATGTTATTATTCTAAATGCTATACTAAGCTTTAATAGTCTTTATAAGGCTAAGCTAGCTTTAAATTACTTTAAGATTCTTATAAAAAGCTTTTTTATAGTTATAGTTATACTTAACTTTACTTTAAGCATTAGATAACATTTATAAACATACTAGGCTAGTTTATGCTAATATAGCCTAGATTATACTTAGCGTGTAAAGAATTAGCTATATTAGCTATAGGTACTAGCTAAAAGAAAAATCCTTATGTATATAGCTTAAGTATGTGCTTAATAATTACCTACTTTTTATTATTACTTAGCTTTTATAAGTTAGCTATAAAGTTAGCTTATAAAAGTTATTTAGCATGTTAGTTATTTATTATTTTTTTAAAAACTCTATATATACCTGCAGTATGTTGATTTAAAAGTGTTACATTTTATTTAAAAGCCTAGAGAGTAAGCTATATCTAATATTCTTTTAGCACATCTAAGTAGTGTTGTTAGAATTAGACTAGTGTAAGAAAAGTAGTTTAGTAAGGTCTTAGTAAAAGTAAGTAACTTAGGTGGTAAGCAACTTGCCTATAGAGTATGTTACTTTAAAGCATAGTAAGAACTTTATTTTTAGAATATAAGTAATCTAGTTATATATAAAGTTTTTAGCTTAGCGCCTATACACTTTCTTTAAAGAAGTAAAACAACCTACATTAAGTAGCTATAAAAAGTGTAATAAGTAAAAAAGTATATAAATAGTAATAATCTTATTGTTTTTATAGTATTACTAAAAATAAAGCAAGTTATAGCTTTTATAGCTATTAATAACTAGTAAATAGTAGCTGCTAATAGTCTACTTTTTTATATTTACATTAAAGTGCTTTAACTATTCTAGACTAAGCTTATTAGTAGTGTAGCTATACTTAATAACTTTAATAACTTAATTTTAAAGTAGATTTTTATTATTATACTAATTTAAAACGTAATTATTACCTTTAAAAAATAAAAGGTAAAATAGCCTAAATTTTAGCATTAATGTTTTAAATAGATGTTACTTACTTTTAGTTACCTAGTTAGACTGCTTTTAGGTATTCTTATCTCTTTAAAGCTATAATAACTACTCTAGTAGGTATTTAGCTTATTATAAACTTCATGTTATTAAAGTTGTATATGTTTTTATTTTAAATGCTATAACTACTTAGCTTTAGTATTCTTTATAAAGCAAAACTAACTTGAAATTACTTTAATAATAAAAATTATCCTAGGTTCTTAAAGCGCTAGGCCTATAACTGTAGAGGATAAAATAGCCTAGCAATAGCTGTTTAGAAGATTGTATAAAGTAACTCTTCTATCTAAGGGAGTTAAAAGCTCTTCTTATATACGCTAAGCTTTAGAACGTACTATATCTAGATTCTAAGCCGCGTCCTAGGCTCTAAGCCCTAGCTAAGGCTCTTAGTATACGCGACAGGTTGTCTAGCGCGTTAGTTATTTATTATCTTTTTAAGGACTCTGTACATAGCTGCAGTACATTGCTTTAAGAGTATTGCGTTTTATTTAAAAGTCTAAAGTGTAAGCTATATCTAACATTCTTTTAGCATGTTTAAGTAGTATTGTTAGGAATGCATTAGTGTAGAAAGAGTAGTTTAGTAGGGTCTTAGCAAAAGTAAGTAACTTAGGTGTGTAAGCAACTTGCCTGTAGTGTACATTAATTTTATTTTATGTTAGAAATAAAAAAGTTGCACTATAACCTTATCTAGTTATATTAAACATAAAAAGATATAAAAAATAAAAAAATAAGGCTTTTTACACCTGTTTTATAATAAAGACTATACAGAGATATTGTTTTATAGCTAAATAAAAATAGATAAGCAGCGTAATAGGCATAGTAGCAGCAGATAGGTTAATCTGCTTTAGCTATTAGTAAATAAGAAGAAAAAAAAGAAGAAAAAAAGTAGGCATATAATAAACTATAAAAAATAAACATATTTATACTTTAAAAGTAGTAGCACAGAAGAGTCTTCAGACTATAGGCTTTAAAGTAAAGCCTAGGGAGAAGAGGGCAGATGTTACAGCTACTAGTTAGGCTAGAGGGACATGCAAGTCTCTAACCCTACAGAGGAAGGACAGACTAATGCTAGTAAGGGCACAGCCTATAGAGGTCACGTTACGTGATGCTCTAGAACAGGTATAGCGTATACTAGGCATTAAGAGAGTGGTCGCAAGACTTGGCGAGTGGCCGCAGTGGTTGCAGGCTTGGCTCTGCGGCCACACCCGGAATGTTGCGACCACCGCGACCACCCTCAGGTATATAGTCTCAGCCTCCCACCTCTGGTGGAAGGTTGTGGTTATTCTTCACTTTAGGACACAGTCCTGGGTATAGCAATATACTTAATATCCTTTCTAACAAGAAGCGTGTGAAGACTATTATTCTATTCATAATAACGTGTTTTATCAGTAAGCTGCGGACATCAGTAAGCTGCGCACCCCACCAAACCGCGCGAAACCGCGTCCACACCTTTAACTATAGCTTAACAACTACAAGCTTAATCTCTAGCAAAAGAAGGCAAACTTTAGCTTGCTCTTGTCTTAATTAAGTCTAACCCTTATTTATTAATTTGTGCAGCTGCTGCAGCCTATAACGTACCAGAATCCACCCTCTAAACGCGCCTCTGTAGTATCCTTCTAAAACGCAAGACAATCTTAGTTAACTATAAGCTATTGCCTATTAAAAAGCAGTTACTTGTCTTCTAGATCCTAGATCTTAACTAACGCAGCTTTCTACTTTATATTATTAATGTGTGTTAAATAGCAAACGTTCTGCTTTAAGCTTGTTGCTAAGATCCTCTACTAACGCCTGTAGGCAAGTGCTAGGTATTGCGCTTTGTTAACAGCTAGGCAGAGCTTTAGACAAAGTAGGACAGGAAGATACACTTCTAGCGCGCTCTCTGTCAGGATCTAGTTAAGTTTAGAGCCTAGTTTAAGCTAGTAGAGGACACGCGTTAGACGTACAGGATACTAGATAAGGATACCTATAATTTTAATAAAACAGAATTTATAATAGGGGTTGCTAGCACATCTAAGGTTATTACTAGCTCTAAGACTGTTAGTTAAGCAGTTACTGTATAGCCTAGTAATTGCAACTAGGTTACTATAATTAAGTGTATTAACGTGTCTAGCTAGTTGCTCTTACTGCTTATTATCTTACATAGAAAGCTCTACTAAGCTAGCTAGTATTATAATATCCCTAGCAACTAGGCGCTTGTAGTAAGCAATAACAGCTAAACAACTAACTACCTTAGTCTAGCCTAGCTTAAGCACTTTAACAAGTAGACAAGAACGCGTACAGCAGGAATCTATTACCTGCTTATAGTAGATAGCCACAGTAGCTATGTAATGCCTAAGTTTAATTAGTACTGTATAAAGAACAAGATTATTAGTCTCTGTATGCTAGCTTACAGCTCCCATCTTCTATAGCCTCTAGATGTTAGCTGTTTTGCGCCTCTTAAGTAAGCGTACAGACACTAGGTGTTAGAGCTTGCTTATAATTAGATCTTTTATGTTAACAAGTAAGACTTTCTTAGAATCTATAAGCATATTAGGCCTATAGTATTTATAGAGTAGATAATTAAGAGCAGCTTTTAAGCAGCAGGTTTAGTCCTACACTGTTCTAATTATGTCTTGTTGTTGCTTACTGTTGTCTGTACACTGTCTCCACTAGCGCAAGAAGCTAACAGTAAGACGCGCTAGACTGTAAAGACACCTTATATAGTTGCTTAGCTGCAGCAGCAGGCTTAACTAATCTATAACTGCCTTAGTTGTTAATTATAGAGCCCTACTAGCTAAGCAATAGCTTAGCTTATTAAAGGATGTTAGATAGCAATGCACTTAGTAATAATCCTTATAAAGAAGAACACTAAGCTGCGTTAGGCTAACTATTACTAAGAGTAGAAGAAGCAACAGTGACAGCAGTATATTGCTACAGGAGGGACTCTTACAGGCCAGGAAGGTTAGAGGCTGGCTGCAAAGGCTAATAGGTTAGTTAAAGTGGATGCGTAGGCTTAGGCATTGCAGGCATATTAACAAGCACTACTAACCTGCTTAAGGTGCTATGTACAAGGCTATAAAAGGAATTAATGTAGAAGTAATTAGAAATATTTTATATATATACTTATATAGGTTTAATTTAGTTGCTGTTTAGTTATCTGTTAAAGAGGCGCGCGCAGTTTAGTGGGGTGCGCAGCTTACTGATGTCCGCAGCTTACTGATAAAACACGTTAGTACAAACACATTAGTCATCTTACTCCCTTACTCTTTACCCTCTACTCCTTACCTTCTTCTACCCCCTTTCTTCTACCCCTCCTTTGCTACGCAAGGATTGTACGGAGGACTGTACACCCTCTAAGCACCGCCGTAAGTTGAAGCATTAGGAAACATCCCTTCCACACCCCTCCTCTCTATCCCGCACTCTCGAAGACCAGTTACCGGCAGAAGGCACCTAGCAATAGGAAAGTCGAGGTAAGATATCGTAACAGCTACTAACTTGCTTATGTTACTAGCTCGCTTGTGCTGAATGTTACTCTTATTATTAAATACTGCACCCTCATCCAAGGTAAGAGAAAACACCAATACCGTTAATCGAAAAGGAATAGGGCGTCATCAGTAAACTGCTATTATGCCTGCGCGGTAGTCTCATGACAGTAGTATGCGGCGTGAGCGTCAGAAGTCGAAAGAGAGGCCTATGATTGTCTCGCCGGCAAGAAGTTCTCGACATGCTCATTCAGTCTTTCAAGCGATCAACCAGCGTGTCGCTGCGGCAGATGTCTTAACCCAAATACACCCTTGATGACACTTGTTTCAGCTACAGCCTGACGAACGTCTCTTGTCCATACTTTCGTCGCATATGATCAATCGATGTCATCATCGTCAATACCTTTGCTTTCGACGGTACTAATCGTTTGCTTTTTAATAGCATCCATGTCTCGCTTCCATTGGTCTTTAATCTTGTCAATCAGCCCAGGCGACCTAAGCACGTCTACCGCCGTCCCCGCCAGGGCCTTTCCCACCCTCAATGCTCTCATGAAGGCCCCCTGAGTACCCGATGCCTCCTCAAAGTCGGGACTGTGCGGCTGTCCTGCATGGAGGCCTGGGGGGATGGCGAAGCTCGCGTTCACGCTCGGCATGGCATAGCTGATGTTTCCCTGATCCGTGCTCGCGTTGACCCAAGTAAACTGGTCTCCACACGGTATTAACGGGTCCGGTAAGTCGGGTAACAAATTCCAGTACTTGGTGTACGACGCTGCGAGGATGTGATTCGGCACATGGTCGGCGTACCCCTGAATGATTTTGACCTCCGCCCTAGCACCTGTGGCCTCGGCCCCGGCGCGAAAGCAGGCGCTGACCTTTTGCTGGAGCTCTTTGAGTCGAGAAGCACTGATTGCGCGGATAACACAGACTCCGGCAGCGTACGCGTGGATGATGTTCGGCGCTGCTCCTCCGTTAGTGATGCGCATGCCGATCACATCGCTGGGCATCGTCTGCTGGCGCAGGACAGCCACCGCGTTGTACGCGATCACAAGGGCATCGAGTGCGTTGATACCGAGCCAAGGGCTGTTTGCTGCGTGCGCTGCACGTCCAAAGTACTCAATCTCGAGCCGGGCGAAAGCGGTGGTCCGGACAAGAGGGCTGTTGTGCGAGATGCCCGGGTGCGAGATGAGGGAGATGTCGACGCCCTCGTAGGCGCCTGCCTCGAGGAGCCGGATTTTGCCTCCTCCTCCTCCCTCTTCTCCAGGCGTGCCAAAGAGGAGGACTTTGCCAGGCAGTTCATGTCTTCTGATCATCTCAGCTGTTGCAAGACCTGCGGCGAGCGAGGCTGTGGCGATAAGATTGTGACCACACGCGTGGCCTAGATCAGGGAGCGCATCTGGATGACGTGAGGGACACCTCTTTCATTGGAATCCTTGATGAAATAACGTACCCATCTCAACGTTGAAAGAGACAGCAGGTCCCTCTTTTCCACTATCGTAGACCGCAACCCATGCCGTCTCCATTGCATAGGCCGATGTTGTGACTTTCCAGTCTTTTTGCGACCGCATGAAATTCGTTAGAAGTTCGTGTGCCTTGTGCTCTTCGAAGGCAAGTTCGGGGTTTTCGTGTATGAACTTGTTTAGAGACCACAGTGACGCCCAGAGACTCTCAATGGACTTGTCAATTTCTGACAAATACTCCTCAGAAACGTCTTGAGGGACATTTTCAGGGCATTCGCTCCTAAATATGAGAACGAAACCGTCTTCTTCCATATCTTCTCTTTCAGATCCCGTAAAGCATCGATAGGTCTTGAGAGACGGTAATCTCCCTACCTAGCTAGCCTCAGCACAACAATGAAGCGCTCAAATTCAATTATCGGCGGCGAAATATGAAAATTTTCGATCCGATAGGACAATTAAAGCCGGTCTTGTCGATGTTGCCTGCAGCCACTTAGGGATAATCGGCGGCCGGAAATGGTGGCTCCGTGACGTTTTGGGATAGTTGATCCCGGCAGTTGAAGGAAGTCAATCTGCTGCGAAACACTGGGCCCTTAATAGTTCGGTTTCACTCACAAGATGAGGAGTCTGCTAGCTACAAATACTTCTAAGGCATATCTAAGATGTGCCAGACGGCGCCGGCGGTCAATGGAGGCCAAATCCGCAAACACCATGTCGCAACGACGCTAAATTACTGGGACGTTCCAAGGGACGGCTCCCGCCCGACCCCAATCTTCATCGGGAGAGGTAGAATCACGAACGAGCGGCCCCACCGTGCCCACAACTTCGTGGTGATCGACATAAGCGGCGACGAAGACAAGTACTCCCTCGACAGCCATGGATTTCAATACTGCCATCACGAGAGCCGCGAGAAAGATTTTACCGATGATCAAGCAATTCGGTCAGCCTATTATGAGGAATGTGAACAGCTCTTGAAAAAAGTCACTGGGGCCGGCCGCGTCCACATTTTTAACCACAAGGTCCGTCGTGGACCAACCCAGTGGCACCACCTGGGCTTGAACAACCTCGCAAATCGTGGGCCAGTCACAAGGACACATGTAGACCAGTCGTACGCCGGAGCAGAGCTAAGGCTGAGATGGGAGTTTCCAAACGAGGCAGACGAGCTGGTGAAAAGAAGGTATCAGATCATCAACATCTGGCGGCCCATCGAGACGATTTTGAAGGATCCTATCGCAGTTGCGGATGCAGACTCAGTTCCCGACCTCGACCTTATTGGGGCTGAGATGACTGAAGACGACTTCAAGGGAGAGTCGTGGGTTGTCCGACACAGGCCGGATCATCGGTGGTACTACAAGCACCAGATGACTCCTCAAGATGTGCTCCTCATCAAGTGCTTTGATTCAGACACGTCGGTAGCGCGAAGGTCGCTGCACTCGGCTTTTGAGGATCCCGCTCACCGTGACGAGAAGTCCCGGCAGAGCATTGAAGTCAGGTGCCTAGTTTGCTACGATGCGTAGACAATTTTTGGTTGACGAGAAATGATATTGCCAAACCGAAGGGAAGTGGCTAATCTTGCCGACTTTTCCATGTTATATAGTACCAAGATGGGCAAATCTAGCAAGCCTAGATGCGGGGAGTAGTTTAATTGCACGGCATGTGATTAGGAATGTGTCCTTGGCTACCCTAGTTGTGTAAAGGATATTGCCAAGCTGAGGGGAAGAGGCTCTTGCCGACTTTGTTTTGTTGTATAGTGCATGCAGTGGAGAACATGGGTAGGTACCTATAGGTGGCAGGAACTAAGATTCGATAGTAGACGCTAGCTCTTTCATTAGTTAGTTTGTTTGTGATAGGCTAATTCGGCAACAGAAGTTCACTATTGGCTCGTGCGTACCCCACGCTAGGCTTAGGCTCAACCTAATTGGGGTTAGGTTGAGATCTTGGCACTCACCAGGTGCAACTGGCACTTGCCAATGTTCCACACCGAATGCGTGTTGCTCCCTTAACGCACAGCTAGCGATCTGCCGACAGCAAAGGTGGATCAGCCACTTTGGTAGAATGCATCGAGAGCGGGGAAGCAAGACAAAGCAGCCAACTATACTGTAAGGATCAGTAGAAGAAGGTCGATTCTACCTCAACTATTATTAAGCCGTTATCTCCTAAGGATGATTTAATTAATAATGACTATCTAACAGTCAGTGACTTGTACCAAGATCAAATGGCCGCGATAGCCGGCAGCCATGTGCCCAAGACTGAAAGTATATAAACCCTGTCTCATGGAAGCTAGGAGTTAGCAAGCTGGAGTTTCTTTAAGAACAAGTTCGTACAATTTAGAAAGCAACCTTTCTTTCCACTTCTTAAGAATTAGCAAGATTCTCCGGACGTCATGGCTCCCGCAATTGACCCCCCGCAAACCGTCGAATGGCAGGGCAAGAGAGTCCCCGTCTGGCCGATTCAGACAATCGACTATGGACAGCTGCTCTCGCAGGATCCCGGCGAGGTAGACAAGGTGCTCAAGGCATGCCTTGAGGAAGGGTACTTCTACCTCGATCTTCAGGGAATCGACGGCCGAAGAATGCTCGGTGACCAGCAAGAGACTCTCAAGCTTATGCACCGCTTCTTTGATTCACCTATTGAAGCTAAGAATGAATTCGGGCTAATTTCTTCGCACCTTGGCTATGAGCCGGTGGGCAATCGCACGGGCGCGTTTGGGGCGGGCACTAAGGACGGATATGAGATGCTGAAGGTGTCGCGAGATGAGATTCAGAGGGGTAGTCCCAAGGTCCCGGCCGTGATCAAGAACAGCGGCGATCTGCAAGTGTTAGAGAACGCCATTGGTAGCTGTAACACCATCACTAAGGTCATTCTTTCGGCGCTCTCCACCGGGATGAACCTGACCGGGGCCGCGCGCTTTGAGAACTCTCACCGCAATGACCGCCCATCGACCACCACAGTAAGTCTATTCACCTTTTTGGCCTTAGCATACATAGGAACCCTTGAAACTTATCTAACCTTAACTAGCTATCCATGATGCACTACCTCCCTTCGGAATTGACCGGCAACAAGAAAATTGGCCACCAGAAACATACAGATATCAGCTCCCTGACTTTGCTCTTCAGCGAGCAGTGGGGCCTTCAGATCCGTCCCCCAGGTACGTGTGGTGCCCGCGAGATGGGCTTCGTCGCCCCGAAGACGGGCTGCGCCTTCGTCCACGTCGGCGATTCGTTGCGGTTCGCGAGTAAGATGAAGATGCAGTCGTGTATCCACCGCGTCGTGCCCTTCGACTCGACCGAGCACCGCTACTCGATTGCATACTTCCTCCGGGCCGAGGACGACACCATGTTTATGGACAGCGAGGGCCGGTACGTCACAGCTGGGCAGTGGCATGACGAGAAGTTCAAAGCGTTCACCGACCCGTGGCAGTGGCAGGCCATGGCACCCAGTTCGATGATTCTGGGAGGCATGAAGGAGGCTGGGGAGGACGACCCTACTGGTGAGATGCCTGGGTTTGTGCCTAACCCTGTCGTGACGAAGGAGGATATCAAGGAGATATCGGTCCAGGCCTGAAGTAGTTAGTGTCGGGATGATTAACTTCACGTCACAAAATAGCACTTCTCCTAAAATACCTCAAATTCAGTTAGGTAAAGGCGAGGTTGATTGGAACTTCAGCCCCTAAAGGACGTTGCTTAGCGAGCTAATGATACGAATATATCTCTACTTAATGAACTGGAGAGAACCATGTCCAGATGTGAAACTGTAGTATAGAACATAGTATTCTGTGTTAAGAGTTCCTAGGTCGGCTGACTGAGCGTGCCGCATGACAGAGCAAAACTTAATCTCCACCTATCTACGTTTCTACAACCGACACACACAGCCGGCTCCGCATATCCAGGTCCACCAAAGCTCGGCACGGGAATCCCCTTCGCGCTTGAATCTCATGGCTCGCCTTAGATCTTTCTGTATTGGGAGGTCTCTTATTAGAAGACCTCTGACACTGACAGAAAGACTTTCACATTTACTCTTGTGCTGTTAAATGCCATCTCTGTTGAAAATAGAGAGCTTGTGTGAGCATGTAGCTATATAAGAAGCTGATACTATAAAGTGCATTGTAAAGTGTGTTGTAATTGTCGAAGTGCTCTAGTGCAGAATATTTCTTTACATCTATAATGTAAGGCCAAGATGGCGCTTACGTGCGACGGGTATATATACTATTCTGTACGTAATAATTAACTGTTAGTTAATTATTCACACCTTTTTAGTTGTATTAGCGCAGTGGTACAGAGCTCTGTTCTTACACCTAGAGTGTAAGCTGTATCTAATGTTTTTTTTAGCGCGTTTAAGTAGTATTGTTAGGAATGCATTAGTGTAGAAAAAGTAGTTTAGTAGAGTCTTAGCAAAAGTAAACAGCTTAGGTGTGTAAGCAACTCGCCTGTAAAGTACGTTAAGTTATATAATTACTAATTTACATATAATAACCTAGAAAGACGCTACTTTTTTAAGTTTATATATAAAAAACTTTAAAAAATAAATGCTATAAAACTTTTTAGTACTTTGCTATATATTTAATAAAAAATCTTATAGAAGTGCTAAAGAATAAAAAAATTACACTATAGCTAAATAATAACAGTATTTAAGCCTAAAAGCTATATAATATAGCATAAAAGAAATTAGTTACGCTTAAAAAGCTTTATATAAAAGCAGGCTAAACATAATACTACTAATAACACTAAAGGTACTAACATTGCCTGCTTTTATACCTTAGCTAGCACTACACTAATTACTATGCAAACAATACATAACACTCTATCTAACGCCTACTCCACACTCTTAATTGTACGCACCACTGCCTGCTGCAGTGTATGCACTACTAGTACCTGTGACGGCCCTGCACTATTCGTGGCTTGTCATCACATTAAACTAGGATCAACCCCATTTCGGCCGGAGGACAGCGACATAATATCAAGGTCCTACCGAGCGATCAGCCTCGTGCGCTTGATTCGCCGACGACCACCTACCGAGCAACGATCGTACGACCAAGCAGAGCCTTTGGTTCGTCAACACGCTCCGCAAAATCCTGGTTAGGCCAGGTACCCCGACGCCTCTCGAAGAGCCCTGTGCTGAGCAAGAAGCTGCACCCAAATCAACTGTAGGGAGGGGCCTACATTACCCGTACAACGGAAGAGAGCTTGGAGCTCTATCGTACTGATCACTCTGGGAGAGAGCACCCCCTGATCCTCTGCTACACGATCGGAAGCCCCGAAGCAGCAGGCAATACAGGTCTAGAGACAGCAGGCCTACCGACCAATCAGCTGCACAGCCAGCAGCACCACCGACCAATCTGCTTCACCCTCGGGACCTAAAGCAGCAATACAGCGGACTGTTAGCTAATGAAGGGAAAAAACTAATCGCTAATTTAAAAATTCTTTACCCTACACCTATACATCTCTAATTATAGCCTTTAGCTACTTATAATTTTATAATTAATTTATACTTGTTTATAACGTACCTAACAGGTTGGCCGGCTATACAGGTTGGCTGGCCACTTTTGCTAAGCCCCCACCACACTCTAGAGACCTATCTACATAATGCCTTAACAACAACACTAGATTAAATCTTCTAAAGAATGTTAAATACAGCTTGCTTTTTAGGCTCTTAAATAAAACTTAAAACTCTTCTTATAATGTGCTGTAGCTATTTATAATGTCTTTTACACAACACTAAGTAATTAACGCGCTAGATAGCCTTTAGAAGCAGAATGCTAGCCTAAATTAAAAAATCTAACTAAGCTTAAAAAGAAAGTAGTTATTAAGTATATACTTAAGCTTATTACACACAGATTTCCCTCTAGGCTTGTAGCTGTAGCTAATATAGCTAATTCCTTACGCGCAGAGCGCAATCTAGGCTAGGTTAGCTTAAACTAGCCTAGTATGTAAGTTAAGCACTGCTTTAAGTTTATAATAAAGTTTAATTATAAGTATAATTATAAAAAAGCACTTTATAAAAATCTAAAAGTTATCTAGAGCTAGTTTTACCTAGTAGCTAACATAAAAGCTAAGTATAGTATCTAAAATAAAGACACGTATAACTTTAATAAGTTAGGCTTTATAATAGGCTAGATATTAACTAGAGTAGTTATTATAGCTTTAAAGAGATAAAAACAGCTAAAAGTAATATAGTAAGGTAATAGAAAGTAGATAATAGTTATCTAGAGCATTAATATAATAGAGTAAGCTATTTTACTTTTTATTATTTTTAAAGGCTGCTATTACTTTTCTACTTAGTATAAAAAAAAGAATTTACTTTAGAACTAGGTTATTACAGTCTCTAAGAACAGCTTAGGCTATAGTAGTTAAAGCACTTTAATAAGCATATAAAAAAAAGTTATAGGCGCTTATTAGCTTTTTATTATTAACAGCTATAAAAGCTATAACTTACTTAATTTCTAGTAGTACTATAAAAAAAATAAGATTACTACTATCTATATGCTTTTACACTTATTGCACCTTTTATAGCCTCTTAATATAAGTTATTTTGCCCCTTTAAAGAAGGTATATAGGCGCTAAGCTAAAGATTTTATGCGTAACTAGATTACTTATATTATAAAACTTAAGTTTCTACTATGCTTTATACACGCCTATAATGCAGCAATTACTTTTAGTAATATTTAAAAAGAGTTTTAAAGCGCTAGTTTAGTTCTATTTAACCTAGAATAAGTTAAAATAGCCCTTAATGTCTAGTTGTGTACTTTATTACTACTACTACTTATTAATAATAAGCCTTAGTAGTTATAAACTCTAAGTAATACTTTTAAATTTAGGTTATAATTAATACTTATAAAAGTAAGAATTTAGAGGTATATAAATAGCTTACTAATGTCTATAGTAGAGGCTTTTAAAAAGGTTTTAAAAAGGGTAGTAATTATTACGCATAAGCTAGTGTTAGTGTAAAAGAAAATTGTAGAGCTTTAAGCAGTAAATAAGGCTGCTACATAATATAGATTATATAAAAAAAAGTAAATTTAGGCAAAAAAGACTTTAATAGTTAAGAATAGAGCTTGTTTAACTACTTTAAAGGAGTTTAAAGCGCGTAGTAATAGAAAGAAGCTAAAGACACAGGTGCGCGCTAAAGAAAGTAAGCTAAGTTAAAAGTAATACAGGTAGTGTAATTAGACTAGGCATAACTTATGTACATATAAGAAAGTAGTAGAAGTAGACTCTAAATAATATCTTGTGTTGTATTGCTTTATACAGGGCTAAAGTGGGCTGTTTTGCGCCATAATAAGGTGGTTTTAGTAGGGGCTTAGCAAAAGTGGCCGGCTAACCTGTGTGGCCAGCCAACCTGTTAGGTACGTTATATGTTAATTTTATATGCCTAGTAAGCGTCTTTTAAATAGTTACATTGTACAAGTGCTTACTAGTATTGTAGCAACATAGAAGAACGTTCTAAGATTAACTTTAAACTATACTAACTTTATCTACTTAAGCTTTTTTATAACAGTGTTATATATATGTAAATAGCTACTTACTTTTTTAAAAAGTTTTAAGTTTATATTACTTTTTATATAATTAAGCAGTACTTTTAAATATAAAATATAAAGTAACACTTTTTTACTAAAGTTAAAAATAAAGTTAGAAATTAAATCTAAGTGCTTTTTTTTTAAAGTTAAGCTTAAAAATTTAAATATGCTTTATGTACTATATAATAAAAGCTGTTAAATTAAAAAAAATACACTTATATAACTTTAATTTAAGCTTAAATTATATAAAAATGTATAAAGTATTAAATAACACTAGTAAGTAAATAAACTTATATAATAACTTCTTAGTTAAAAGCTAAAAAGGTGCTATTAATAAGTATAAGTAAAAGTATTTTTATACACACTTTTTTTTAATATAGCTTTATTATTATATAGAACTAATTATTTTACATTTATTATATAATAAACTATAAAATAGTAGAGTGCTATAAGCGCAACTCATAGTAACACTATAAAGAGTATCTTATTTCTAGCCTAAACTTTATTTAGTTTATTAATAGCTATAGTAAGCTAAAACTATATAGTGTAGAAATCTATCCATGTATTAACATGTACTTATAATATATTATATAAATTTATGTTAGAACCTTTATTTATACTACTATTAGTTACCTTTACTAGTTTCTTAAAACACTTAAAAAATAAAGTAGTAACGTACCTAACAGGTTGGCTGGCTACATAGGTTAGCCGGCTACTTTTGCTAAGCCTCTACTAAAACCACCCTATTCTAGCTTAAAACAGTCTACTTTAGCCTTATATAAAGTAATATAACATAAGATATTATTTAAAGTCTACTTTTACTACTTACTTATATGTATATAAGTTATGCCTAGTTTAATTACACTGCTTATATTACCTTTAACTTAGCTTACCTTCTTTAGCACACACTTATGTTTTTAGCTTTTTTCTATTACTACATGCTTTAAACTTCTTTAGAGTAGTTAAACAAGCTTTATTTTTAACTATTAAGGTTTTTTTTACTTAAATCTGCTTTCTTTTATGTAATTTATGTTATATAGTAGCCTTATTT